GTCTCCTGATTCTCAAAATTCATGATATGCACTTCGTGCGCAATTTCTCAGCAGGTTATTTTCATACTCTTTATATATTCTCGCCCATTTTCCTAAAATAGATCAAATTGGGCCGAATTATGTATATTTTGTCGTCTTTGAAGTGTTATTCCCAATAAAATAATTTTAGCTGATGTCATGTAGGCAATTAAGGTTTCTATTTGGCTTTTACTGTTGAGTGCACAGGACCTTATACAACATGCTAATACTTTCATGGCTCACAAAATACCATGATAATTGTGGCTGCACACAGCTCTCAAAACCACTGTCACTTAGGTAGTCAAACTTGGCAGATTCGAAGTGTTAGAATTATTTCTCAATTTGTTTGAAGGGCCATGCCTCAAACCTCAAACGTTTTTAAAATTGTTATTCTCGTTTCGTCACGTTGTATACTCTACCTCGCTGCAGAGGTTTCAGCCATTCCGGAATGATTTTTAGCATTTACGAAGTCGCTGGCGTCGCTTTCATTCGCGTAGTTGGCTTGTTTACATCCCCGAGCGAAGTAAACAAACCAACTACGCAAACGACAGCTGCGCGATCGACTCCGCACATGCTAAAAGCCACGCCGCAAAGAAACCTCTCCTCGTAGGCCTAAGACAAGATTTTGGCTATTCAAGCGTGAGCGCCGCAAAGATTCAACGCGCGCGTCATAACATAAACTTACACTGATATTGCGCGTTCACGGATTTAAAACATTTAATGTTTTTTCTAGTTCCTCACTTTGTCACAGATGACATCAATGTTTCTGAGTAATTCTACAGTATTCTAACATTACTAGTTTTGGTATCCTGTGCAAACTGCACTTCACAACGATCCTAGGTATTTAGAAGCTGAAAATCATTCATTCTTTACAATATGAAGTAAAATAAAAAGTCAAAATTTTAACATGACCAATGTTTGCACGTTCGGTAGTTCCACCAGCAACTTGGAGCCTCCTACGCAATCATTGCGGGCAAATTATCTTGACACTTTCATTAATCTGTAAACAGTCGCATGTGACTGAGAAAATTCGCACAGCGCGCGTCATAAAACAAACACTGAAACAATGATATTTTCGCGTTCACGGATGGAAACATACAAAACGTTTTTTGTTTACTCCATCACAGATGACATAATTGGAAACAAGTAATTTTACTGTATTTTTAACTCTGAGGAATGCTATTTTGTACTGGCTGCGCTTTGTAAGGAAGTCTCTTTTATTCAAATAATGAAGTGATCGGTAGAAATTGAACGTCAAACTTTAAAACATGACCGACGAATGTATCGTTCCGGCAGTTTATGGCTTCCCACGCATTATAGTTTGTCTCTGGTAGGTCAGACAATGGGCGGTAGAGGGGCGGAACTCGGAAATGGTCACATGCTTGCATGTGCACTTTAGTATACCAAATGCACCTCAAATATGAAACTCATTCAACGAAACACTATGAGTATGATGTCAATGAGGAATAATTGTGGCAACCCGAGCAGGAAAACTCATTGTTTTGCTTTGTTTGGCTAACGGACTTGAAGTATGGACGTAAAACTTTCTTCCTGTTTTTAATTTAAAACTTTATAATAGAACCAAAATAGTAACATCGCGCATGCTCTGTTGACTTAAAGGGGATTTATTGCTGCGTAAGAGGGAGATTCCCTTCCTTTAATCGTGAACCAATGACATGCCAGCAGGAAAAACGAAGATTATATAAAGCGAATGCAAACTTGTTTGCTCAGAGCAAGAAACCAGTCAAACGTGTTTACTGCGACGAAAGACTTAACCCGTTGACTACTCAACTACTCAAACCGGTTTGACTAAAATACTAAACAAGTTTACAAGAGTTGAATGTATAGTGGAGCTATGGTCGGCAGAACAACTTTGTCTCCCTTTCCACCGAAGGTGGCATCACTTCAAGAATTNGGAAATTCAAGCGCCCTCTCTCGCAAAACGAAGAACCCTTTCCAACCAAAAATTTGTTTATGTAAAGATGTTTAGGTACTGTAATACTTCGTGAAAGTAGAAACTCAGAAGAATCGATAGTTTCTTAGTTTGATTTTTGGTGACGTCACGTGCAACCCAAGAATACCAAATGCACCTCAAATATGAAACTCATTCATCGAAACACTATGAGTATGATGTCAATGAGGAATAATTGTGGCAACCCGAGCAGGAAAACTCATTGTTTTGCTTTGTTTGGCTAACGGACTTGAAGTATGGACGTAAAACATTCTTCCTGTTTTTAATTTAAAACTTTATAATGGAACCAGAATAGTAACATCGCGCATGCTCTGTTGACTTAAAGAGGATTTATTGCTGCGTAAGAGGGAGATTCCCTTCCTTTAGTCGTGAACCAATGACATGCCAGCAGGAAAAACGAAGATTATATAAAGCGAATGCAAACTTGTTTGCTCAGAGCAAGAAACCAGTCAAACGTGTTTACTGCGACGAAAGACTTAACCCGTTGACTACTCAACTACTCAAACCGGTTTGACTAAAATACTAAACAAGTTTACAAGAGTTGAATGTATAGTGGAGCTATGGTCGGCAGAACAATTTTGTCTCCCTTTCCACCAAAGGTGGCATCACTTCAAGAATTCACTACTCAAATGGACATTGTCGATATAGGTAGGAATTTCGTCGATTTGGTCATGAGTTGACGTTTATCAAAAACGATAAACCGTTTGCCTCTAATTTTTTTACTTTGTAGCTATAAATTGTAACCCAACTGATAACAACTGGCATATATTTGGAGCCAATGTGGAACAAATGCTTCACACTTTGCTTGGCGAAGGTGAGCTATTTTTATTTCTTACGTTATCAGACTTCTTCTTCCCGTCATCCCTTGGGCCCTTATAATTTGATTGTTAGAAACAAGAGGACTGGACTCTAGTCAGCAGCTTTTCGAGTTCGGCCTCGTCCATTAAAGTGTCTGTTACAAAATCAAAAACAAAACAAAACAAAACAAAAATATTCGTCGTAAATCGTCGGGTAATTTCTTTTTCTATGAAATGTTTCGTTATTTATCAACCATGCGATTACTGAAGATAGAAGCCGAGTTGTTCTAGGGCTTGACCTTTTGCGAAATATTACATACCGATTACTCTGAAACAACGATCAGCTGAACTGTGAACAAGCAGATTTCGTGAATCTGTATGACCAAGATACCAATTTTTTTCCCTTTTTAATGTAAGGAACATTGTTTTAGGGTAATGACAGAACAGGATTATTTTCTTTTCAAGAATATCACTATTTAAAAAAAAAATAGATAAATACATAGATAAACAAGAGACGTCTGAGCGCGAGACAGAGAAGAATCGAAGGATGATCAATTAACGTTTCAGATAGGCAATTATCCAACTCTTCAGGAGACAAGTTTCAAAACCGCAAAGTACGTCAAAAAGTAAATATTGACTGAGAACAAACTTGTATCTTGGATATGGTAATTTTGTTAGTTACTCACGCTCCGTTGGCACAGTTTCTTATTTTCCTCACGTGACCTTACGCTCCAATGGCGCAATTTCTTATTTTCCTCACATGACCTCGTGGGTTTTATCTCTCGATACCTTTTGTGAAGTTTTGTTTGCGTTAAAAGAGGATAAAAGACCTGAATCCTCTCTTGCTTTGCACGGATAATAGGCGAAGAACTCATGATCTGAATAAAAATTGAAGATGTCGAGCCACAGGAGCCCATCACAGGTTCCTGCGAGCCGTGAATGTGATCAGAGTTACGAGCGACACTGGACACACACTGTGTACTAGTTTCTAAAATTTTTCTATCATTTTGTTATCGGCTGTATCAGTGAACGAGATTGGAACGTTGGCAATGTTTCAAACACAAAGTATAGTTCTGAAAAAAGGAAATTTAGAAGTGAAACCAGGAGTTCATGCTCCTGAAACTTAGTTCTCTCCGCTTCAAAAAATTAAATGTTTTGTTTTTTTCCGCATCAATACCCTCGCGCGAAACAGCACGTCTCCTCGCGCTCACGCGCGAGGAGATTCAGTATTCGCGCGTGAAAATGATTCTGTTCCTCGCGATTTGTTTGATGGTGGAGGTCATGTTATATTTTTACATAGCAGCTTTTAATTAAGGCGATTGTACGTTTGAAGTGTCTGAAATTTCTCAGGCCAGTCTCCGATTTTGAAGCTTTTTATAGAAAGCGCAATTGGGAAAAAAACAACATATCAGATGCACTGCGGTGATCGTTTGCAAAAATAAGGACTTACTAAGGGACTGAATCACAAAAAACGCAAAATCCAAGACACTTCAGAAAAAAGGAATTATCGTGGCATTCTCCCGTTGCGAAGTGCTTATATATGTACTTCATTATTCGGTATCAGGGACGTAAAAACGGCCTCGTAGGAAAGATTTTTAACTTCAAGGGTGAAGGTTGCTTTACCTGCAGAGGATTCTTTGGTAGAAAGATAAGTTTTAACGAAGTTTAAGGCCTTCAAGAACCTTGCATTGATTTCGTTTCTGGTGTAGCCTGCGCATCAAGCTTTTTCAGGGGGAAATGGACGAAGGGAAGATGAAGCCTACTCTCCATTATCTTTCCTCCCGGAACCCTCTTGTAATGAAAGGCCTGATACCCGGTAGGAGAGCATGTCTAAAAAACATCAGATGCTTTTTCTGGCTACATGCAACGAGGCACATGCACTATTCCTTTCTTTTTTAACCAAACTTGTGTCTTTGGAAATGAGAAAACAATTTGTTTTTGCGCAACGAAGCAAAGCAACCTTTCACTGACCTTTCGGCTCTTGTGATTTGTTTGTGGACTTGTTTGTCAAATCGGTACTGATTACGAAATCCAAGTCTGGTGCGCATAGTAATTAAGTGAACTGCGCAAGAATTCCTTATTTAGAAGGTAACTGTCATTAACAGCCAATCACGGAGAGGGAGGTAAATGAAAGGTGTGTCGCAACAGAGCTGTATGAATATTACAAACCAGATGAGCGCGGCTGTCTTCGACTGGCACAAAACGAAACCGGTCAAACAAGTTTACCTCGAAGGAAATTCGTCCCGTTGGACCCCAGCAACCGGTTTGAAAAAGGTCTAAATCAGGTTGAAAAGTTTTTTGCTTGGACATCAGACAAGTCAGACCATGATTAACGAGGCATCTTGGACGCAAATGAAGACAACGACCGCTACAGACGACACGTCCGCTTTCGTGAAGTTCACAGATATAGGTACGAATTTTGTCGCACTGGTGCTCTGATTCGACTGAGATTTGCCTTCTACCTTGTCTTTTGTGTACATTTTAAGTATTTAAGTACTGCATTACAACTTAGCAGATACTTCGTGCAAAACGGGTGAAGCGAAAATCGAAAATTCTGCAATAATCCCGTCACAATCTTTTGTTTTCTTGAAACGTCTTTGTAGTCTCCCATGAGGTTTAGCGGGAATTTGCATACACTTGTCAGACACTCATCAATGAATGCTCGTGTCTTGAATAATTTATATTTCAGTCGCTTTAGCAAAATATATCAAGTAAGAAATATTGTGGTGCCTCTCAAAGACACATGGAGAATCAGGCGGTATATCAGGGGAGAAGAAACAGGATTCCTTTGTCAAAGGTTGAAGTGAAACGTAATCCTGTTTCGCTGTCAGGCGTTCAATTGCATGAATAGATGTCCAAAATCACTCAAGTTTGTTTCTCCTTGCTGGTATCTAGAAACTTTATCAGTCTGTGCTCGTAAGGAATCCTGTTATATTCCAACGATATTCGTTTTGGAATTTTAAAACCTTATACTGGTTCTGTTGATAAATACGAAATCTAGACTGTTGGACCACAGGTGCGATATGAAAACGTCTTTATAAAGCTCTTTTAAATGCTGTAATTTGAAATAACCTCTCTCTTGAAATAATGTAACAGCAAATGCTTTTGAACCAAAAAAGGTGCAAGATTATTTTGTTTTCACATTAGGCAGAAAACGCACAAGAAAGCGCAAATAAAATTTACTTTCTGTGCTGTACTGTATTACGCTCGCCACCGGGGGGATTTTGCGAGATGCATCTGCGTATGCATCTATGTCTTTAGCTGCCTTGTTTGAATAGAAAAAAAGGCGCCAAAGAAGGTGTGTATTTTTTGGGAGCAGTTGACAAGACTGTTTTGTCGCTCGGCGAGAAAAACGGGACAAAACACTTATTATTGAAAATATTAAAATTATAAATTAACTGTCAAAACTTGAATTTATCCTAGGCAATCTTTATCGCGACTTTATGATAAAGACTTTGTATGGAAGCACTACCAAATCAGGAAATCACAAACTATCCTCTTAAGAGATAAAATTGAAATTTGCTAAAACTTTAAAGTAACTCTGAAATTTTATTGGCAGATAAAAAAAGAAAATAAAATGATATTAAATTTTCTTCCCTAATGTGGACATTTGTGACTGGGCGCCATGTGGCATGTGTCAACACTCTTGTTCCATATTTGGAAAAAGAATGATGTCATCGTTTCAAAATAACCAATAGGCGGAGCTACAATTGATTGATAACTCCCTGGATGCCAAGCGAGCTTCACTTGCAAAGAAAGAAGGCGTGTGGGAAGGATTGGCATAGTTGTTGACTACTCAAAAATCACATTTATCCCGTCAGTTCCACCGTTTACTCTCTTTCCAGAGAGTTTAAATTCTCGCAGAGCGTTTATTTATGTCGAATTCTTGAAACTGAGCTCATAAACTATAGCAAAACGATGGATTTCGTTGAGACAAATCCCTTCGAAACAGGTAATTTTGTTTGCCGGTAAACTCATCCGACTTTGGTTGCCGCCAATTTTATATTTTTTTGAATGGAATACTTGAAACCAATGCTGTGTTCGTAGTAGTTGTATGTTTTTCTCGATAGTATAGTATTTAATATTGATCCACTTCGGTAAACAGCCAGTTTTGGCGGCCAAATGCATTTGATATTTTGGTCACATGTTCTGTGTGAAATGTTCATGCATATTTTAATATTGCTTTTAGTGTATTTTACCCGTCTGCTGTGAGCTCTTCCTGTCAGGGAAGCTGTCAATTTGTTTGTCGTGTAAGCACTCTAAATTTTCCAATTTCCTCGCGTGCTTTTTGCGTGCGTCAAGTGTTTAAAACTTTCATCTCGCTGTTCTCAGCTCGCCCGTGCGACTTGATCAAAGCGATTGTGAAACAACGTGCCAGAATAATGTTATCCGCCGTGAATGATGAAGTTTATCCAACAGCAAGTATAAATGGAACAAACAATGGGTGGTGGCGAACATTTCATTTAAATTTCGCTTTGGATATTTCCGTCCGCCGTAACCTTAATATCAAGATGACCTATGTTAATCAGTACAAAAAGATTTCAATGCAAGTCGTGACCTTGTAAGCGAAGCGTGCAAAAACACGACTTATTTGTTCCGCTGTAACTTGTTATCGACTCTTCCAGCTTATTTAAAGTTGTAGTACGTTTTTGTTCCATTTTAGCCCATTAACCGCAAGCGGCATATGGTTTAGCGGTGACAGTGGCGTACAAACCTTGTATTACGTAATTGTACAATAGTTAAGACAACTAATATTCTGGTGTTACATTTCCCTCATTTTAACACCTTTTTCTTTCCCAGATCATTTTACCCCTGACACTCAAGACAAGGAAATTGGACTTTTCAATTCATCACAGCCAAGTGGTGTGTACTGAAATTGTTTTTGATTTTTCCTCCTTTTTTGTAGCAACTAGCCCTGTAACCTTTAACCTACCGCTTTTTTTGTGTCCGTAAGTAATATTTTAGCCTATTTACTGAGAGGCAGATTCCTTTAATTTAGAACAAATAAAATTCAAAGCATTGTAAGCTGTTTTCTACACAGCATGTATCGTCTGCATGATTTCAAAGGAGTGGTGTTCTGCACAGTTCTGGAAACTATTGCATTGGCTCTGCTTGTACTTTGCCCTTTAATTGCCCAATCTTTTAAGTATCGTTTTTCACTAAAAATAACTTGCCTATTTTTGTATTTATTATTTTTGACATTAGCAAGATTTAATACCAATTAATTTATTTTTTAAAGCGTATTTTGTTTTCTTGTGATTTCACACAGAGTTTATGGTTTCCTAATCATAGATAATTGCGGTAATAAATTAGACAAGAAGTTTGTTTTGTATTGCAAAGTGATTTAATTTCATTGGAAGTTATAAAGTATACTAATACATTCTTGGTATAAATTCATCGAAACATATCTGCACAATTAATTACAATTGTAAGAAAATGTGCAATGGTCACTCCAAGTTACATTGCTGAACTCTCTTTTTTGTGGCAATCACAAAGTGTCAAAATGGAAACTAAAGCAGATATTCACAATTATCAGCTTTTGAATTCTTAAAATAAACAAATCACCAATTAATCTTGTAGCCAAAGATGGGTTTGTTTTTTTTACAGTTTTAAAGGGGTTTTACCGTGAGATTATGACTCTCTATGTATGTGGTGAATTGGATTCTTATAAGTTCAATTTCTTCCTTCTAAGCCCAGGGTTCGCATTAGCACTACACCCCCTTTCCCAGTGCTAGTGTGGATTAAGCCCGTCAGGCAAGTGCGAATCATGTATTATTACTAGCCTGGTTTGGTGATGGAAATTTCCATTTTCTACAAATTAATTGGCTTCTATTCAAATAACATTAAATTTTGTCGTTCAAATATCAATAAAGTTGACTGGCCTTGGTGTAAAGATAGCCAAGACAGTATTTCTAGTAAACTCCAGGGTAAAAAAAGTACCAGTAACAGTGGTACAGTTAAGGTATTTAGCTAAACTGGTGAGAGGAATTTTTATTCAGTTCTGAATGTTCAATGCTTTGTCTGTACAGGTGATTTTCCTGCAGGAGGGGATGGACCACCCTTCCCAATGGATTTTCTGGAGACTCCAGTGATTCCCCCACTTCCAGGAATGATTGACCTTTATGAATCAGATGTTTCTGACAGTTGTCCAGCATCACCTTCCCCACTTTCCTCACCATCAGTCAGGTCATCATCCTCAGAGAGTGGTATTGAGGATGTCAGTGATATGGAAGATACACCATCTGTTTGCAGTCAGATAATTGGGGGAAATGCTGTCATGAAGAAAGGAAACCCCCCTTCCCCACTGAATTCTCTAACCCAAGCGTCAGAGATTACCAATGGTGGTAAAAAGCGACGCAAAAGCTCAAGGAAAACCTCCAGTGACAGCAGTGTGTTGGAGGAACTGAACAAGTTACTTGCTGCAACATCGACTTCAGTGGATCATTCTGGGTTCCAGCCCTCTCAGGCCATTACTGGCCTTGATGTTATGGTTGGCATTCAGACCACAGCATCCCCAACTTCTGTGTCCAACAGTTGCCCTCTGTCTGTTGAGGGTGGTCAGGCCACCACACTTGCTCAGGCATTGTCCATTTCTTCATCCTCCAATCAGATGATGTCATCAGCCTCTGTTACCAAAGTCAGCAGCTCTCCACCAGCTGCTCCTTTGTCCAAAACAAGGAGCAAACCATCCAGGAATACCAAAAAGTCTGATGAACCAAAGATTGTCATAGTTGAAGAGCCTGAAGAGGTAGGTTAAACCTGTTCACACTGCGCTGCAACAACACATAGACTAGCTTTCACATTGATCCATATTATCTGTTTAGTTGGTCTAATGAGTATACTGAAAAAGACCATGACTTTTGTGACCTGTTACGTCCTCTCCATTCTAATGTTGCATAATGTTATACTTTGCCATGTACTTACAGCTGAGTTTTACAATTTTTTTTTGTAGAACTATAGAGCAAGATATGAAAGTGAAGGATGCAGAGGTCCAATTCATGGATCTCAAGAAAACAGTTTTCCAGCTGTTAAGGTAAGCCCAGTGTCCTGGTTGAGTTTTTCTGTCATCCATGAGGGAAAGATGATGCTATCAAGCAGATTAGTATTAGAAAAATCAATAATTCAACATTACTGTAATATCGTTGTATGTAATATCTGTAATATCAAAATATGTTGTCATCGTAATCAGAATTTCTTGACCCTTCATTGGAAGCAGTAACAGGATTTCACTCTTTTGGGTGATAACAGTTGGCTTGTGAGCCCAGTGATATGATGTTGAATTTGCCTGTTTATCTACTTAGGTTACTGGATATACTGGTTCAGTTTGGATTACAGTTCACCTAACTACCAGTGGTGGTGTGCCGCATTATCACTCTATTCATGGTCCTGGATCCACTAAGGTGCCTTGTAAAGAGACCACATTACCTGGGGGAGTCCCAGCTGTTCAAGTAATGGTTGCACCGGATTCAAATATGACTGCTGTGTAAGTACTTGCCTTTGCACATAGTTAAGAAAGGAGTGCTTGAGTTCTAACTCTGATAAAGGCAACAATTTATGCAGTATTAAGTGTAGAACATCCTTTTTGTTATTGGACAGAATTTGAACTAATTATGTTGATACCCTTTTGTCTGCAGGCTTGATTCTTTAAGCATTCGTAGACTGCGAAACTGGGAAGGTGATCGAGAATTGAGAAAAAGGGGTATTGATCCAAGAACATGGAAGAAAGAACGCAAGGAAGCTCGGCTCTTGTTTCAGGCAGAGATCCCTGAACATGATGGCCATCCTGCCATTAAGCTTACTTCCAAGTCCAAAGTCTTCCAATGTAGTTCAAGTAAGTTTGAGTTGTGGAATACCTTTATTTTCTCCACCAAGCCCAGGGATGCCCTTAAGAGGCAGCTGCTGGCTAATTTCAGCAAGTGAAAATGACCCTACAACCAGCTCCAATTGCTCTGGAAAACAAAGACATGGGGTCATTTTAACTGTTCATTTGAGTGAAAAAGCTGGCTTGACTCATAAAAATGCCTGCCTAGCTTTTCTGTAGCTACATCCCTGCATGCCCAAATTTCAACTCAGGTTCTCATTCTTGTGGAATAAAGTGCAACTCCTCTTACTCTTATTGATTATGTAGGAATCTTAACAATGTGTTAACTTCGTTTGCTTCTGTTTTTTTTCTATGTAGCTGGTCCCCCTGGAAATCCTGAAATCTGGTGGGCCAGTATCAGTGAGGGTTCTGTTGAGGGTGGCGATGAACTGGGTCTGATTGGAAAAAAGTTTCAGTCAGGTGAATTTTTTTAAGTGTTCTTGTTGGTACCTTTTTTCAGCAAGTTTAGTGACATTTTCTTCTGTAGTGTTTGCTTCAGGATCGTGAATTAATCAGCTGTTTTGTCTACTGTTGCAGGTTTCAAAGTACGATTCTTCTCGGCCAATCCATCTGGTAGGATTTCCGTCTCTTTTTGCTTGTTAAAGTTGGTGTTGTTCACAGGAGTTTAAGCAAGGTGTAATTTCTTGTCCCATACTTTCTGTGTGTCAGTGATATCCTCCATGTTGAACTAAAACTCTAAATTACGTAGTGGATGTGGCTGACTGGCAGGAAACATTGGATGAAAATGTGCACCTTACTTTTATTCTTGTGATTATGGATGTCAAATTACAATGCACAGTTCCCGTCGAGACAATTTAAATATTATTTGGTTGATTGGTTGAACAGTTTAAAGTTTTTTTATTGTATAAAATGTAAGAAGATTGTTTACAAGCTTTAAAGAGGTGTCAGATAAAATTGAAAACCGTAGTGAAAAAATCAGTTGACAAGCATTGTAGTTTGAAGTCCCAGCTCTTTTATATTTTTCTTTTGTTTGAAACTGGCATGCCTCTTGTGGAAAAATTTTTTTAACCAAGCTTTTGATCATCTAGACTTCACCAATTTGTGATTATTTTTGTACTAAAAGTTCACAAAATTGAAAACACCATTGTTGAATTTGTGGTTAATTTGGCTCTCATTTTGAACTCTTTAAAACACTGATGTCTGTATTGTACAAATGTCCATCTGTGTCTGGTCTCTGAGAGATTACTCTGTTGAGGGTATTAAGGTGGTTTTCTAGTCTGTTGGCTATGAGAGGGCAAGCTTGGTTGGGTGGGAAAGTGGTGGGGTTGGAATGAAAGGTGTGCAATAAATTGGCAATAAAACAAATGTCTTCAGGGTTTCAGGGGATTAAAGTGTCGCCCTATGGTGCTTTTGTTACACCCATGTCTAATCAACACCATAAAACATCAACAGATGTGCTTCCAGTTTTATGCAAGTTCCAAAAATTGAAATATCAAACTGAAAATATGCTCCTCCATTGTTGTCCTATGCTATTAAAATGAACTGAGCAGAAAGGTTGAATAAGCAATGTCTGTCTGTTGGTTGAAAAAAGATACAGTTCTGGTAAATGCAAAACAGCACATTTTCTGGATGTTCAATGGTGGTTCTTAATGAGCTTCAAGCTAAGCACTTCAGGGCGATATTTTTATTCAACTGGCTTACTTATGAAGATATATGTTTGTAACCAAAACATAAGTTGTCAAAAGCTTTTTTGCAGAGAGAAAATTCAGTTTGGACAGAGAAATTCTTGTTGGCTCATATTAAGTTTCTTTTGGAACATCTAGCAGTGAAGCACACCAGCACTGTATAGTTGCTTAACAGAGACAATCATATTGTCTTCCAGCTGTTAGTTCTCTGAAGAGAACTCTATAGCTGTACTTGAATGATAAGTTTCAGGAGAGTTTCTGAGGAGATCATACACTGGAGGCATGTTGGTTTGTATTTGAAAATTTGATGCTTTGTAGAACCAAGATCCAAAATATATACCTGAATATATTTTGCCAAAAATATATATTATTGTGTTGGTGGCATGGTCGTTGGATGGGAGGCACTGAGTTCTTTCTTGAAAGTTTTTACTGGTTACATTTTAACGAAACGAAGTCAGAAGTAAGCAAGTGCTAGGTGAATGAATTTGATGCATCTTGGTTGTGCAAAGTTCCTTTGGGGATTATTTTATATGATGTTTAGATGCATTGCGTTATTGGGTATTGGGTTTGAAGGTTTTAACATGCTGATTACAGTTGTTGCGCTTCCAGAGTTGACACTGTGTTGACCACAATGGACATTGCTCACATAATTGCTTTTTTACCAGTGGAAGCTGTATTATTACAGGTGCTCGACGGTGTCCTTTCTCTAAAATCTGTTTGAAATTAATAAAAGTAATAATTCTAATTTGGTCTGCATTTTAATAGGCCAAAGTTATTCCATCACTGTCAAGAACTTCTTTATTCTTGTGCTCCTTCTTATTTTAATCCTGAAATAAGTTTCAATCTTTTCAATGTAAACAAAGGCATTACTGTTAAAACAAGATGTAGATTTCATATCTCTTGTAACCATCTGATGTAACTTTGTAAGAATCATACACTAGCTTTTAAGTATTTTTGTGACATTTTTCTCTTTTTGGCATGAACCAAACTTGTAAAGGTTAGGGTTTTCTTACTGACAGAAATGTAACTCCATTTGATGCACAAGTTTTAGTCAAAGCTAGCTCTTTTTCATCAAAATCTAGTTTTTGTTTACACCAGGAAATGTTTACCAGGCTTCTCAAGTGCAGGCAAGATTCTGAGGTTGCTGTTATTCCAGACCTATAAAGTTATATATTTTTTTACTTTCTTTTTTGTGAATGTTCTTGCTTGTCCAAAATGATGCAGATTACCAGAAACCAATTTACGAGTTTACCATAAGAATAAGAATGGTCCCGGGCAAAAATATTTGTATGTTAATGAATTTCACTGAACTTGACCATAACAGTAAACGTTCTTTTGAGAGGGAATGAGTTAGGAAAAGCAGAACGAAAAGTTCTCACGTCTCACTCTAATCAGCACACAACTTCAGAGAAAATATATCTCAAATTTACTAATCTCCCTTTACTACTGAACATTGATTTGCACTATTTGACAGTTGACAGTGCTCCTTGATGAGCTATACAGCAATCTGTGTTAACAGCAATCTCCTTATTTTGCACTGTAAAGAATTTTATGCAGTTTCGTCACGTTGATGTAATAGGCAACTTATTGCCAGGGCTGAAGACTAACACTTCAATTTTATAGCCCAGTGACTTTGACAAATTTGATTGCACTGACAAGACAAATTTTTCACCAGCCAAACTAAATTAAATGAGTTCACTCAATTGTTTTGCAAGTTGGTTAAAATGGAAGAAAATTGGCATAACATCACGTGCTTTTTGAAAAAGAAAAAATTTCTTGGCCTTGTGAACAGATTTTCATCACTTTTATTTTATTTCTGTCATGAATAGTAGCAAGTGGTGGAGCATAAACAAACAGACATATAAACCAACTGTAAATTACATGATTCAACTTATTTGTATGGTTTTGCACCAGTCCATGTGCTTGGAAATTTTCTCCTAATTGAACAGCCAACAGAGGTGCAAGATTGACTTGCTGTCTTTCAATACCAAGCTACAATTGGTCCTAAGTTCTTCTTTCTAACTTTATACGTGGAATTATTGAACAAGAATTTTCAATGTTACATTGGCAAGAGCTTAGGTTTTGTATTACTTGAGAAGTATTGGTAAACATTTTCTGTTTCGAAAGCAATGTGTGAGCAATTATTATTGTGGTATCCTGTCGACAACATACACTTCATTACAGTGGAAGACAATTTCGCATGAATTTTATCTCCACAGTTGCACAGTGAGACAAGTTTTTTGTCTTTTTAGTTTTTATTCGGTTTTCCTTGATATTGAAATGGCATTGTCTTTGGTGAGGTCTGCTAAAGGCCCTGAATAAGGTGTCTTTAGCTAAATGTGATTTGAAAGAGTTGCTTGTCTGCAGTTACTCTCTAAGTTTTTTTTTTTTATAGAACTAGTTTGAATGTTGTTTGATTCGTGGAGTTGCAGTAAATATTATTGGATTCGAAATAGCAAAATGCATTCTTGTGTCAAATTATTTCTCTTGTTAACTCGATTTTACTCCTTACCAAAGACAATGGCAGTTCTCATTTATTTTTATTTTTGGAAGTTTGGATCATGAGGGCTTTATTTGCAATGGTGATTTTTCTTGTCGGTCAGTTGCATCCGAGCTCTCATGATTCAAGACTTTTTAGTTACTTTTTTTGTTTTCTGTGAATCAATGCTTTGGAGATCTAAATTTTTCGTCAAAACTGTATTCTAAATCATTTTTAATTAAATTGGATTTACCTCCATTGCTAGATCACAAAAAATACTTGGTTGCAAACTTTGTAGTGGGCAAAGAACCAACACATTTGTGTGTGTGTGTGCACCACATTTTAATGGATTCTAGATGTTGTTTTTACTTGCCTGCATCACGTAGAACAAGTGGAGTGGAAAGGGGCAGGGAGGGGTTTGGAGAAAGGAAAAAAAATGCTAACACAAAAAAAGCTTTTTTAGCCCTTATATGTTTATATTTGGAGGAGATTAGCTCAACTTGTGTTGGTTGTTTGTTGAGTACAAAGGTTGTTTCCACTTTGTGCATGAAGGGTTATTGATGGGTTTGTTTCATGTTTCATTACTTTTACTCAGCCTTGAAGGGAATGGCAGTTCAAAATCTTAAGGTGTTTTGATAATCAAAGAAACCCCTTCCTCGGCATGGAGGGAAAGTAAACCATGGCTTTAATGATTATCCCTTTTCTTTGTTTCCTTTCCTTGTATGTCTTGCAGTCTGCGCAACAAAATATATTTTTCATTTCGAGTTGTCATTTTATGGTTTGAACTTCAGTGAAGAAAATAGGACAAGTACATGTTGCAGTGTTTCATTTCTATTTCGCCATTTTCTGTTTACTTTACTTTTCAATTGACAATTTTCATTTTTTCCCAAATCATGTCCTTATTATTCAAATTTTATAATCCTTTCTTAAAACATTAATCACCATTTCACTGTAACTACTTCATTTAATTTACTCTAATTCTCTGCCATCCCTCTTCTGGCTTATTAGCCAGTTGACACATCAAGCAGCCAGGTCATTTGCAAATGAAAGCGTCCCGCCCGCTTCAATACATGTCTGCTTGATGTAGTCCAACGTAAAACTCGGGGGTTTGGGAGGTCTGGGATGGGAAGTGCTGACTGGGGTTTGTTGGCATCTGCTTGTGTTTCAGAGCATAAGAGAATGTTTAGGACTTTTGTTCAATGTGTCATAACTTTTGCCTTGCAGAAACTTGGGAGAGTTTTGCAGAGGTCGACAAGAGTAAGTCACATCAGGTGAGGAATGGGTGTAGCTCTACTTTTACAATGTAAGGGTCTCATTTCTCAACTCTCAACTTTTTCATCTCTGGAAGGACAAAGTATGATTTCATCCTGTTACAACCCATTTCTGAGTTTGAAACACCCTCGCTTTGAAAGTGAGGCCAAATGCAATACCTTGCTTGTGAAAATGAGCTTTTTTGGATATGAATAACGGTGTTCTCCAGAAAATATTGATACTGATACTGATATCAAAGACTTTGCATGTAGCATTGTTTTGAAATGGAAGCTTGGAGCTGCTCAGAATGACCTGTTGCTTGACTTCTATTCTACCTTACGCACATACCTAGCAAGGCTTTCTGGATCAGATAAATTATTAGAAATCTAAAGAAAGAGTTCCTAGGGAAACTTACCAAAGTCCCAAGAGTGGCCAACATCAATTGTCTTCTAACAATATCATTACATTATCAAGGGAAAAGGTTATGAGAAGGAAATGCTGTAAACCTTTATCAAATTCTCTCAACTAATACTTTAAGGAAATATTATGGGGATCAGTCTGGAGAATTTGTGTGTGGATAATGCAGCCTAAAGCATTATTAAGTAGCGATAATTTGTAAAGAAATAATTAATTTATTTTGGCATGTGCAGTTTTGTATGTGCCTTGAAAGTCCTTGAATCTTAAAACAAAAATGCAAGGCCTTGAATGTCCTTGAAAATTGCAGTTGGTACTGGAAAGTCCTTGAATTTCAATGCTAACTTAATAGGGTAAGGAAAAATGCAAAGGAAAAGGAGCAAACACAAAGACCTTTAGGATAAAATTCTCCTGATGTGGAAGAACTACAAAGAGACAAAATGTGTCCTTGAAAGTCCTTGAAAAGTACTTGAATTTTTTTGTTCAAAACTGGGTACTAACCCTTCATGTTCATGGTTTGGCAGTAATTATGATAGACCAGTACAACTTAAGATTGTCAACTGGTCAGAGTGATTCTAAGAGCTGTCCGAATTTGACTTAGCCTGTGTCAGCTCAGTGGCAGAGATAAAAAGTCTGCCAAGAGTGGTGAGGACAAATTGTAGCGATCTTGAAGACAAAATGTTAATTTGCTTTGTTTGTTATCCACAGGGTGCTGCTGTAGTGCTCACTCCTGCATATTGTGACACTCAGATAACCTCTCCCGTCACTGTTAATGTGGTGGTAATGTTTGGAAACGGCAGAGATGCAAAATCCAGTGATCCTATTGAGTTCACTTACAAACCTAAACCAAACGTACAGGTTCAGGAAGTTCAAATGCATCCTAGTCTGCCTGTTGCCACTGATAATTTCTTGCAAGTGGATTTTATCAATCCTATTGGAGATGTTGTGATGAACAACATACCCCATGAACTACTGCAACCACCCACACCAGCTCCGGAACCCCCCCAACCAGCAACAGTTGTATTACCTGTGCTGAATGATGAACAAGGTAACAAGTGACGGCAGCATTATTGTTAGGCTGCTTGTTTTTTTTGCCTAGGGCCCAGTTGTTTGTGGGCCAATCAGTGTTAATCTTAAGGCAAATTTTAATCAGGTTTTCTCTTTCTTTTGTTCAAAAACGTTTTTGCGGAATTTTCTCTACACAGGGATCCATATTCCTAGTCGTCCGGTCATCCCGCTTTTATATTCTGAATTCAAATTTCAAACTGTCCCGGGGTTATCTTGACCCAGCTTTGAACAACTGGGTGCAACTGAAAGCAAAAAAATAATAATAATAAAATAGTAATACAGTACAGATAAGCCGGAAAGTCAGCTTTGAAACCACCCGGTTTTCTCAACAGACCATGGCTGTGAACTAGTTGCATTTAAGACATTAATCCATTGGTGTTCTCAAGTTCTATTTTGCCATAGAAACCCCTGCCCTCTTCCCCCACCTGATTTGATTCAAACCAAACCAGACTTGAATTTTTTGAAGGTAGCAAAGGCATCAGTTTGCTTGATGAGGTGCTTATTGTTGTGGTTGTCAATTTGTCTGTAGATTGGCAGTCAATGTGTCTTGTTCTTGGGGAGCTGCATAAGCAAGGACAACTTTCCACGGAACATGTCAAGGTACTCATCACTTAATTATGACCACCAGCTTGCTAAAAAGGTTATGGTCGGTTTAACTATGCTAGGCTGTAGTCAACTTGCAAAAAGACTATCACTTTTTCCTTAGTCCTGAACTGTCTTTTACAGTACAGTCAAATCTCTCTAAGACGGACACCTTTGGGACTGGCACTAGCTGTCCGTCTTAAAGAGAGATGTCTGTCTTATAGATAGTCAAATAGAGGGAGCTAAGAAAGGCAGGGACCAACTCTAGGTGTCCATTTTACAGAGGTGCGCGTCTTATAGAGGTGTCCGTTAAGAGAGAGTCAACTGTATACCATATGTTACAGTATTTACAGTCAAACCCTGTTAATACGGACACTGTGAAGGGTCTATAGAAAGTGTCTCTATTAACGAGGTCTCCATATTAGGTGGGTCATGTTATTAAAGTGAAAAAAAAAACAGGTTCTAATAGTACAAATGTATTACTAAGGGGATAAAAGAGGACATAAGCATCATCAAATGTAACATCTCTAATCTTCACAAAGCTGTTACTCTACAGACTAAATCCACAGAAACACTCAAATCGCTCACTGCAGTCCTAATGCAGAGGCCATAGGTTTTGAATCTTTAAATTTGTAATATTATTGCCACATCATCTTCATAAAATTATTAAGTATTTCTTAATCAAAACCATTCTCTGCATAACATGAAGGATGCCAAAATAGGCTGAAATTGATGACTGAAAATCATTCAATCTAGTGTATTGTAGCACTGGGAACATTGAAATGCTGTCAACTGTAGGAATTTTCACCTTCAGAAAGGAAGGATCTGTTACAGTAAAGAGTTAAAGTGAAGTGTCCGCTTTAGCGAGGTTGACGTTCTGTGAGAGTCTGTTGATTAGGCAAGAAAAAAGTGTCTGTTGTCCGCATTAGAGGGTGTCCGTATGCCGTATAAGTGAGTTGAATTATTTAGAAATAATATAAGGGCTTTCCCCAGGGACAAAGAAAAGTGTCTCTAAAAACGAGGTGTCCATAGTAAGCAGGGGTTCGACTGTACTTAAAAATGTTCATTCTTCAATAGGCACTAACCTCAATGAGTGTCCACCAGCTCTAAGTGTATAAATAAGTGCCTCTTGAACATAGCACTGATATCACAACATAGACTTTTTTTTCTTATACAGGACCTCTTTCTTCTCCACTAGGTCATTCCCATCAGACCTATTGCTATGTCCTTGTAGAGCTCTTTCATTTGTATTCTGTTAGTTTGTTTTTCAAGCAACTCCTCCCCCTATTGATTAAGTTCCCTCTGAATAAGCTTCCCTGTCCACTTTTGGCTCAATTTTTGTGTCTTGTTTAAGCAAGTACGTTATTTGTATTTTTTTTTAATACAAACTGGTTAATTTCAGGAGTTATGTGAGTACGTGAAGAGAAGGGACACTCTACTTCTTCAAGCATTTCGTACTGCAAGAACAGCAAGCACTATAGAACAACTACAGGCGAACTTCAAACAGTATCTGTCTGGGATGCTTTGTAATTTGTAGATTGTATTGTCCATGTAAATTAAATTATGTTAATAAGCAATAGTTTATACGTATACATTAATTTTATTACCACCAAAATTAAATTTATTTCTTTGATATAAAAAGCTCAGGAGAAAAAAAGAGATGAAAAAAAAAATGTAAATTTGTTATCCCAGTCATGCTTGTTGTTAGATTTGTAGGTGATAATAAATATGACAAAGAAGTCCTCGGATTTTGTTGCTTCTGTTGTATTTGTTACCATGTGCATGTTAGATACAAGTTTGATTGGGAGGTATTCACAAATATTGAAAAATAGTTTGTAACTGACAATATATTATTGTAGTTTACAGAACAGGTGATCCACCTAGTGTTATACCCTATCCTTAAAAGAAGTGGATTTCCTTTTTCACAAGCTTAAAGGTCACTTCTCTCTTGTGGCCCAGACATTAAGGCAACATTGCATTTGCACGTAACAAATTAGCACGGCCCCCATCTACCCCTCCAGATCCAGGTGTCTTGTCATTCTTGTGACATTGCTGTATGCTTTATGGCTTGTAACAATTTCAAGGGTGAAAATGCACTTTTCCTAGTCCTAAGCAGAATGATGCTATATTTATCTGATTTCATAGTTACACTGCTCACCGTCACGGTTGTTACTTTCTGTTATAATCTTTCTCTTAAATATTTTTTCTTTAATAATTATTATTTTTTACACACTATTGATTGGACAAGGGAGTCGTCATGATTGATTTTGAAATTGCTAACAATAACACGACTGATGGTAATCACCAACATCCCTTTAAAAATTGTAGTAACAAACTTGACACGTCAAGCTCTATCTTTTTTGTCTTGGGTTTTGGTGTCTTTGCGGTTCCTTCGCGTATCTGGTGATTTCAAAATCAATGTGGCTCTTCCACACCTTTGACTTGCCAACTAACTTATTTTCTTTTCAGGAAACTATTAATTAAAATACGCTATGATTACTTGATGTTGTAATACCGTGTGTTATTTGTCCTTGTATCATGCAAGTTTGCGGTCTTGCCATAAGTGGATAGGTTTGATTAGTGTTATATAAACAAACCCCCCCCAAAAAAAGAAAATGAAAAAAAATTGAGGGAACCTCGTCATTACGATTCCGTTGTCGTTTTTGCTTGATCACGTAACGGTGTTTGAAGTAAGTTCGGCATGTTCAGCCTGACGCGGAGACGGTTTTGAGGTCGTAAGCCATCATCTGCACTCTGTGTACATTCAACTTCCTCTGCCGAGACGCCTTTTCTAGCGGGACAGTTAACGGAACTGGCTAAGACTGTCTGCGCCAGAGGGAGGGAAGGTTTGGTTTGAATCAGGCTGAATGGAATCGCGTAATATGTAGATCATTATACACGGTCTGAAAAAGTTATATAGATTGCATGTTTTATGTGCATTGTTTTCTATGGAGATGAACTATTGTAAGTAAGATATAGTGTCATTATTGTCTTGATGTAAGACTTTGTTTAAGTTAAATAAATTTTGGCACAATCGAGCCTCGTAGTTTTGTAGTTATACCTTAGACTCCATTAAACAGGTTGTCTCGTCAATTGCTGTGTTTGGTCGTTACTTTATTGCGTAGAAAAAGGAACGCTTTGACTCCGCGATATCTATGGGTCTTCGGGAGTGTACCCTTCAGGTACTGTTTCCTTCAGACGTCATAGATTTTGCAATGTTGCCCGCTCTTTCGCTCAGAGATTTTGGCGGGAAACAGTTTCACTGTTGGATGTCACGTGACCTCGAAGTAACCAATGAGAGCGCGCGGTGCAGGGGAGAGAAAGTTTTAGTTATTCTTGAAAAGTTTATCTAGAAGTATTTTTACCGACAATCGTGGTACCTACTTTGTCAGGTTGATTTGTTTACTTCAGGGAAATGAGGGCTCTTTCTAGTTCCCCTGCGGCGTAAAACTTCGGTGCGTGAGTCGGAAGCCGACGGAACGAACGGCAACACCGAGACCGGAAACCGCGCAAGAAAATTTTGTTTTATATGTAGTTCTTACTTTTCAAGGTAAAATCATTGATGTCACCATTCAGTAGTATTTTTACCTGATACTCGGGGTCTTCGAAGTGTTTTTAAGTCCTTTTTTTTCGTACAGGCCATGGAAAACTTGGGAAGTCATGAAATTTAAGAATTTCATTTTCCAGGCCTGGAAAGTCATGGAAAATGAAAGCTATGTTTGGTAGATTAGTCACCAAAGATGTCATTACTGAGTTAGGTCCAAAAATACCTTAAAACAAGGAAAATGTTGAGAAATATTTAACGTCATGAAAAAAGTCATGGAAAGTAATGGAATTTTGAAGAGCTCAAACGAGTACGAACCCTGTTTTTGTATAGATCGTGATATAGACTTAACTTCTTCTGACCTAGACGACGTCCAATCTATTCACCCTAAAAACGTTGTCTTGGTCAAAATCCTCCGAAGAATTGAAAAATTGTATTCATTTTGGGCAGTGTCCAATTGATCTTTTTACTTGACACAAAGGAATGGTCAAACGTCACTTGCTGTCATTTTCGTTCTCACCATGACTCCTTGGGCCTCGACTATCGTCGAAAATCCCCAAAGAGCGCCTGAGAACAATGTGAAACAACGCCTATGGCTCACCAGCAGCTATATGATATTTTGCCATAACACAATGGTAATAGTACTAAGCGAATATACATACATTTGTGCTTCTTTATGTTTGTACTTTCACTTCACGAAGCTATTAGTATAGGTCAGCAATGACACGTGCCTGTATTCAAGCGCGCAAAACATTCTTTCCAATGGCAAGTCCTCTTCTTGTACCAATTCAAAATTTTAGAGGTAAACATGGTCACGCATCATGATCACGGGCAATGCGAAAGTGGTTTATTGCGCTTTCTAACTTGGAAATCGAAGATGCACAATATGGCGTCTCCACGTGAAAGTACTCGGCAAAACCTTAATGCCGAGTCGTCATCGTTTGTCGCCGCCTGCTGGCTCTCATGTACAACTCTCTCACTGTTTCGGTGATAATCTTTAATTTCTATTAGAAGTAATTTTTTTCTGAATTTTATTTTTGGAAGGAGTTAATGGGTTGTAGCGGAGGGTGGTCTTCAACTTGGAATAAGGCGGTTCGGGTCAAAGATTCTTACTTCATTTCCTTTACACGGATAATTCCAAATAATAGCATCAAGGTTAAGACAAATTGTAGTCATTTAATGGCAATCTAATTAAGCCTTTCATCAGTTTAATTATCACTGTCTGTGAAGGGGCATTCCTCCAATCTCCAAAGATCGAGCTTTGTTGCTGTTCTATTAAACTGACGACTAATACGCTTAATGACTTCAAGTTTTTTACGTTAATTTTAAATACATTTTGTGTTCAACGTGAGTGAGTAATCGATAGTTTATTCATGGCTTAACATGTTTGTGTTTAGCCAAGATCTGGTTCTTTAGGATTATAAAACAGTTATTGATCAGGTTCATAACATCACGATTGCACAGCTCGCACATTCTTGAACTCACACTTTCAGAAAAGCTTTTTTGGTAGCACCTTGGCCATGAAGCCTCACATCTATAATTAAGAATAACTACAGCCTTGACGATACGCTTTTTCAGTAACTTGTAAATCTGATGCACCTGCTGAAGTCCATAGCTTCCTTATTATCCGTATATAATTTAAGGTATTTCCCTAAAAAAGGCGGTAATTGAGAATACCCCTTTCCTTTTTCTTCACAAGTCACGCTTTTCCTATTCATATTTAGCCATTTTTATTATTCATTCATTTCATGTCGTGTCATTGAAAAATATAAATATATTTTATTTGTTTAGCGCTTAAAATTCTAAAGCGCTAATAAAAGCTGACAAACACTAACACCCAACAAACACGGCACTCATAGAGAAAATAGAACACTGCCATCACTGTACAAGAATGGGTTCATTGGGCAAATAACTTGTAACTAGTAACTTGTATACTTGCATGTTTTCCAGAAAGATTCGCAATCTATATGGGTGTGGTAGCATATCCAGCTTTTCTCCTACAAGACCTACAAGATACCGGAGTATGCAGTAACTTTATCCTCAATAGTTTAACTTTCATCTTTCTTTGTTTTTGAGTATGGTTATGTATGGAAATGAGTTTGAAGCAAAGATTTTAAACCAAGAATTATGAAATTGAACCACAACATATACAAACTACAACTCCTGAATTATTCTGAAACAGGATATCGCAAGACTTCTACAGCATGGCCCACCACCTAATCTGCTAAACAGCCGTTTTTAGTGTCGTCACGCAACGCTCCTCCACTGGGGAGGAGTGTTGCGTGACGACACTAAAAACGCCTGTGTAGCAGACTACCCCCCACCCGGCTGAGATTTGATACTTTATGATTCGTACAAAACAACAACAGCAACAAATATCAGGAACAACGACCAGAGATTCTTGTGTTGTTGGTGCATTGGGAAAACAAGAAAAAGAATCTCGTGTCCTTAAACAATGTGCTAAGGCATAAGTGTGATTTTTCGCCAAAAAATGCCCCTGCGCGTTTCCCAACCGTATTTACGTGCGTTATAGCCACAGTGCAAGTTCACAGCTCCTCAGTTTCAAGTTGTTTTATACCAAGACCCACTCTACTCTTAAAAGTGCTCGTGAAAACGTTGTGCGTTTTGGCCTTGTTACATACTAAAACAAACGTTCAGAAGTCTTTGAAAACGCTCCCCAAAGTGAAGACTTTGACATGCGGAAGTCTCCTTTTTTAGGACAGTAGTGTGGACGAAAATAAAAAACGAATTACGTTTTCAATAAAGTTGACGTCATAGCGGCTCGTGCCTGTCTACAAAGGCTGGTCTTTCGATAACTTTTTGTCACATACCGCTTATTATTGTTTGCTAGACAGCGCGTGCGTTTAACTGGCAGATTACGCAACAACTAATCATATAAAATAAGATTTGTTTCTAACACTTGTCAGTCTTGAGAGAGATTGTATAACTCGTAACAGGTTGTGGAAGAATGCATTTTAGTAAGCTAACTCGATCTTGGTGTAGTGATATTATCGTGCGCATGAGAAACGCAGAGAAAAGGTTTCAACTGTTTTGTATTACACGCCCAATGCAGATGAAGTCCAAGGTAGGTACTTATTACATGCATACGGAGACGCCGAAAGTTTTGTTGTTACATGCGCTTATTTTTCGTCATAGGAAATTCAATTAACGCTAAATATACAAGATGGACACTTCACCTACAACTTAAGTGTTATTCTGTTGTGATCAGTTACAAACGCTATAATTTTGTGAGCTTTGGGTTGGATTTGTTTTGGCGGTAGAACTTTCAAGAACAAAAATTAAGGACCATTTAACAACAGAAAATAGCTTAGTATTTGTAAACTACTTGACTCTAATAGAGAATTCAAGCCTTAGATTATTTTGCCCATAGTCCGGCCAGTGCCGCCAATGCTTTCAGACTTTTCCTCTATCAACAAACCTTTTTAATGCTCCTTAAATAATATTAAGCCGATTGAGGTGGTTGTTCTCAGCGGGAGAAAGACAACAGTGAGAATTGAGGCAGTTTTTTTTGTTAAAATAGCAATGATCTGCGCAACGATCATGTTGAATCCTGTTTGGAACATTAACATTTAATTTCACTCTGGAGCATTGACATTTAATTTCTCAAGGCAAGTTCACTTTGGAACAGTTTATATGAACGGTAGTACTTGGCAAGTCATACACCTTTCCCCAGAAATCGCATGGAAGATTGAAACCTTACCAAACGGCTAATCTTGGAATTATTTGGCCTTACGTGAATCTCCGGGACGATAGGGCCACATCAGGTTAGATTTGTTTTCGAAAGCCACTTAAATTGTTGAGTCAATGAAAGCATTTCTCCCAATAGCGAGAGCTACAAGAAAACTATAATAGGTACACCACCGGAGGCCATTACAGAACAGTCTTGGGATATCAACAGCAACTTGCAAAGCTCTATTACTGTAGACAAAAAGAAAAAAGACATTAGCTATCACTTAAATCAATACAATTCAAGATTGTTGATTTATTTCGTTGTTATTCAGACCACAAACCACAATCCAAGAGATTAAACCCCCTTAGGACGAAAGGCGCCGGAAAACAATTCTGAAAGCTCGAGAATGAGGCAAAAAATAGAAACTCGTTAATCGCGGCGGAACTTGTAACGGTATTAGAGAGCCTTACACCTCCATTTTGGCATTTGAATAATTCATTGTGTGCAACTGAGATCACCACGAAAAACTTTCTTCGAAAAGATTGAAACGCGGTCGTTTCGATCGCTAGCTTTTTCGTCGGAGCGAATTGAATCGATTCTCGCAACGTTAGCTATATTCGTGGTAAACTGAATTTATCGGCTATGGAACACTAAAGTTTCTTTTGAAATCAACCCCCTCTTGAAAAAGCAAGCTCTTCCTGTTTAATAATAATCGTCATTAGTCAGTATTTACTGAACTATAATGAGTGATCTGCAGGACCAGAATTCAAAAAGACAATATGCTC